TCCCCTCCTCTTCTCCTCCTCTCATTCTGCCAGCTCCCTCTCCCCTACCCTCAGGTCCCTCCCAATTAGCTCAGGAGATTCTCCCCATTCCCATTCTCCTGGGTCCATGCAATTTTCTCTTAGAGTCTTTCTTGTTTCCTAGTTCCTTTGGTGATGAAAATTGTAGGCTGGTAATTCTTTGCTCTATGTCTAAAATTCATATATGAGTGAGTACATACCACATTTGTCTTTTTGCCTCACTCTTCTTTGCTTCTATAATCCTAATAATCTTAATTTTAAGGTCATTTTCTTCTGTTACTTTGCATTGGAAAATTCACGTCTTACTGACATAGTACTACTAGGTATTGCCATATTGCTTTTTAGATTGTTTAATGTATTCTTGTATTGATGGTTACCCATCTCTTCTTTTGCTTGGAGTAGGCAGAGTCTTTGCTTCTTGATCCAACCCTCTTAGTCCTCTTTCTCAGGCCTGTGTTTACAATAGATATCTGTGGCCCAGGGGGGGGCTTCCCCCAGTCCCAGCCTCCCCCCACCGGCCGTGTGTGTGTGTGTGTGTGTGTGTGTGTCTATCTCAGACTTCTTTCTCATTCATCTCTCTCGGTCCTCTGTACATTAGATGCCTGTGTCATATGGAATGACTGCACTCACTGGGTATGGGTGGGGTTGGAAGCAGAGTGGGATTTGTAGGTTATAGGGTCCCATGAGGGACTGAGATGCATGGGGCAGGGCACAGTTTTTTGCACAGGAACCAAGGTCCTATTGGATGTGTGTTCTTGGCGGGAAATGGATCACTCACAAATCAGTACTCTGAATTTTCAAATAGTTGATTTTGATTGCATGCTTAAAATTTTCACTACACGATCAATTATCCGTTCCCTTTTACACCACTTTAAAATAAAACTACTACAGAATACAGGCAGGTTTGTTTCTCTCCAGTCCTGCTGCAAAAAAAAAAAATACATAGCTAAAATAACCATAGAAAGTATGTCTTTTTACTGAAAGTTTGTAGATGCAGCCCTTATCTTTGAAAAAGTATTACTTTGGATCTTGAGTTTCCTAATGACATAATATTCTCATCAAAAACAGTAAATACCAATGATAACCTTTTTTTCTCATTCCCATTCCTTCTGAGACAACTACCAATGGGATAGCAACACTCACTTTCAGAGTGAAAATTTTAAAATTCTCTTTGAGATTACTCACACAAATACCGAAAATTGGTTTCCATGATGATTACAAGTCCTGTCAAGATGAAAAGTATGATTCACAATGTTGGTGGACTTCAAAGTTTCTCAACATATTAGTCAGTAAGCAAAGAGACAGGAACTGCCTGAAAGGATCAGTTCCCCCTTCTAAGTCATGTTTTCATTGACCTGCCTGCTTCAAACTTGTCTCTAACTCATAGGCTCCAAATTCTCTAACACTGTGATCCTCTCAAATCAATCGCATATAGGACACAGCCTTTTAATGTCAATTTGTGCATTTGTAGGTGTAAAGATTTCAAATTAATTGTGTACCATTCAAAACCAACATTATTGGGTTTTCAATAAACTCAGAGTATTTGTTAACAGTGCTTTCATTATTCTCAGATTCCTCAGTCTGTGTGCAGTGAGAGATGTGGGCCTGGATTCAGGAAAGTTGCCCTGGAAGGCAAGGCTGTTTGCTGCTGTGTTGTCACTCCTTGTCCAGACAATGAGATTTCTAATGAGACAGGTAAGCAGAAATCTTACAGAGAATAGTTCCTCATTTCTACAGGATCATGCATTATATTAACAACTGCAAGATATATGCATAGAAGTGAGACAATTTTATTACTTCTCTTATTTAGGATATGAAATGTTTATTAGCACTTCTGGGATTGATCACACAAGGCATAAAAATGTATAATTGATTTATATTTATAGGCAAATGCAGGAAACCCATTTTCGCTGTTCTGATCTGCATGTTTTACTTCTCTACACAATTTAACACAAATTAATAGAGTGGCAAACATTAATGATTTACTCACTGTATTTTAATATGATTAGGACTCAGCTAAGTATAGGGTAGGTTATACTCATAATGATTCTTCCCAGCTCTCTTTTTGAATACAGACCAGAACATTAGAAATTTGTGGTGATGTCGTCAGTACATATGTTTTTGACTGTGTAACATGAATAAATTTCAAATTTGATTTGAGTTTTAGAAATGTTTCTTTTAGAAATGTGGGTGCCTTTGTAAGTGGGGCATAGATGTTCAGAATTGAGACTTCACCCTGATGGATTTTTCCTGTGATGAATAGAAAATGCCATTCTTCAACTCTGTTGATTAATTTTAGTTTGAAATCTAATTTGTTCGATATTAGGATAGCTATGCCCACTCGCTTCTTAAGTTCATTTGATTGGAAAATCTTTTCCTAACCCTTAATTCTGGGATAATGTCTGTCTTTGAAGGCTAGTTGTGTTTTTCATATGCAGCAGAAGGATGGATTTGGTCTTTGTTACCCTGTGTCTTTTTATCGGTGAGTTAAGGCCATTGATATTTAGGGATACTAATGATTATTGATTGTGGATTCTTCTTTGTTTTGGATTCATTTTTTTGGTGGTGGTATTATTTGTGAGATTTTCCCCTATTTTTGCATTGAGGTGAAGAATACAACAGGAGATTAGAGGGCTGTGTTGGATTCACACACGTTTATGTGCATATAAGTAACAAGTAAAATATCTAATAAGAAAGGCAGGTAGTATAAATATAGAATTAATCACTACAGACTACTTATTACCTTGTACCTGAGAAAAAAGGAACAGGCACTGAGAAATGTCTTAGAATAAATATGATCAACTCAACATGCACTCATGATCACCTTCATTTCTGAATAGACATGGATCAATGCATTAAGTGTCCAGAAAGTCATTATGCAAACACTGAGAAGATGCAGTGCCTCCAGAAAGTTGTGAGTTTTCTTGACTATAAGGACCCCTTGGGGATGTCTCTCACAACCATAGCTCTTTGCTTGTCTATACTCACAGCTGTGGTTCTTGGACTCTTTGTGAAGTACAGAGACACTCCAATTGTCAAGGCTAATAATAGGACACTCAGTTACACCTTGCTCATCACACTCACCATCTGTTTTCTCTGTACCTTTCTCTTCATTGGTTGTCTCAACACTACCACCTGTATCTTGCAGCAGATCGCATATGGAGGTGCATTCACTGTGGCTCTTGCAACTGTGTTGGCCAAAGCAATCACGGTAGTTATTGCCTTCAAGGTGACTTTTCCAAGCAGAGTGGTGAGGTGGTTAATAATAACAAAAGCCCCAAACTTTATCATCCCCATATGTACTGTGATGTACCTTGTCCTCTGTGCAATCTGGCTAGGATCCTCTCCTCCCTTCCTTGACCAAGACGCTCATGCTGAACATGGACATGTCATCATTGTGTGCAACAAGGGCTCAGATTTTGCCTTCCATGGTGTCCTGGGATACCTCTGCTCCTTGGCACTTGGGAGTTATACTATGGCTTTCTTGTCCCGGAATCTGCCTGACACATTCAACGAAGCCAAGTTCCTGTCATTCAGCATGCTGGTGTTCTTTTGTGTCTGGGTCACATTCCTCCCTGTATACCACAGCACCAAGGGGAAGGTCATGGTGGCTATGGAAGTCTTCTCTATCTTGGCTTCTACTGCAGCCCTCCTTGGTTTCATTTTTGTGCCAAAGTGCTACATAATCTTGATAAGGCCAGATAAGAACTCTTTACATCATATCAGGAACAAGTCACATTCTAGCAGAAATAAAACTCCTAGTTCAAAAATAAAATAGTTTGTTAACAGATGACTTTCAAAGACTAGTCCAGTTCATCGCTATTGCAAATGTGTGTTTCACAATTACAGTATGTTTTTGATTCTTTGAGTTCTTATTTCTTCATCTTCATACTTTAGCCATTGAAGGTTTTCATGCCTGAAATCAATGATATATTTTCATATGTACAGGACCTCATTATGCAATTGGGCCTGTCTGAAACTCTCTGAGAGGACTATGATATTTTGAATTCATGGTGATCTGACTACATATGCCGATGCTGTTCTGGGATTAAAGATGGCCAGCCCCAACCTAGTCTACAGAGCAAGTGCCAGGATAGGCTCCAAACCTACACAGAGAAACCCTGTCTCAAAAAAAAAAACAAAACAAAAAAGATGACCAGCCCCATACCAGCCTCATCATGAGTATTTATATTTTTCTCTAATGTGGAATGTAAATATTCATGATATTGATTTAAATTTCTTGAGAGCTTCATGCATATTCTCTTCTCCACTTGTACTAATCATATGTTTTAAATTTGGAAAGTGGTTTCTAACAAAATTTTATATTGTCTTTCAATTACTGTGGAAAAATATATACATTGTAGTTTTCTTTAATCCTCAATTTTTAATATACTGGATTTGTACAAAAGCATCCATCTATTTCTTAAGACTACAAAGCTCTTTACTAAGTTCTTATGTTTCATTTTGGTTTGTGTGATTGTATGGAAGAATACAGGATTTTCAAAATTTAAATGTAATCTTTTCTGAGCATAATATTATATCAATCATTGTATAATATGTTGTATGCTAAGTGAGACTGTAGACTTACTAAGAATTGTGTGTTATTACCCAATGTCAAACGTGAGTCAATCAGAACAAATAACTAAGGCTAATCACATAGAAACATTTTTAACAGTCTGATGACATATGTCACATTTCCATTTAAATCTAGCTGGTTATCTTATATTCTCTTTAAATCTAGACATTTCAACATGTTTTACCTGAATGCTTCTTCCCAATTCACTGCTTTTCATTGAATGGATACGTATTCTTCATTGAAAATCATGAATTGCTTACAACCTGCAATATTATTATTACATGTTTTTTCCAGAATGCATCAGCCTTTAATAATAATACATACAATATATTAAGTAAAAGATTTCCCTTTCCACATCATTAAATAAAGGAGGAATTCTATATAAATGGTTAGACCCTTACCACTGAGAGGTTTTTCCTAGTTGTGGTGACTCCTTTGCCTTTATGTATATATACTAGGCTATGAGGTTACAAAAATGGTGCTGGTAGCTGAAATTGAACATAATTAATGATTGTCAAAAGAAAAACCATGCCTAGTTCTGTAAACCAAGCCAACTACCAAGAACTAGTAAAGTCTTGGATCTCAGTAGAGATATTATAGCTGCCATATTGCTAAATCAGCATAGTCTCTAATCATTCTAACTATTTGTTCTCGTTTATACAATCAAGTCTATACCTCACATCTCTTTAAGGAGATGTTGGGTTGCAACAGATGCAGACAATATCAATTGCCACTCTTAAGGTTTAGGTTTCATTGAGGAAGATGGGACAGACAGAATGTAATAGATAATGACCATGGAGTTTTTTGTGAGATTATGTCTCTTGGAAATGTTATACATTGTCCATAAAGACTCGTAAACTCTGACCAACATTGCTTCCTAAATATGAGCAGAACTGAAACCACAGCAGGCATGCTGATGTGATTGGAAATAACCCATAAGACTTCAAACATACTGGAACTACAGGGAACAAAGTAATGCTGACAGAGTAAGAAAAAGTCATCCATGAGGCAGAGAAAAATAAATGATTCATAAAACAAAATGGTATTCATATATAATTTAGGATTCTATATTTATATACATAAGTGTATAAATAGTAAATTATATGTTATATATTATAATTTTGATTATATATAGGCAATATATGTACACAAGTACATGTTATGTATAGGAATTATATGTACATCTATATTCCTAAATTCAACTCACACACACATTTATACGTATATATGTAATAACAAAAAAGGAGTCTGTGAATTTGTAAGAGATATACAGGAGTATTTAGTGGGAGAAAAACAGAAGGAAAACAATGATCTCAAAATAACAATGCTTTTGTATTCATTGGAATTTATAATTGATATATGTCATCTATATTTTAAAGTGGTATTCAACTTTCCTTACAAATTTATTAAATATGTTTCAAAATTATCCTGAAATTCACATCAATCTTATTTTTAAAGAGTTTTCCTCTAATAAAAACCAGGAAATAAAGTAATTTATACTTGAATAACAATAAATACACAGAGCTAAGTCTTCCTACCCTAGGGTTTAATCTAATAGTAAAAATTGAGACTAAAATTTCTCACAGTAGGGCCGGAGAGATTAAGGTTAAGAGCACTTCCTGCTCTTCCAGAATCCCTGAGTTCAATTCCCAGCAACCACATGGTGGCTCACAACCATCCATTATGAGATCTGGTGCCCTCTTCTGGTGTGCAAATATACATGGAAGCAGAATGTCGTATACATAATAAATGAATAAAATCTAAAAAAAAAGCAAAGTGCCATACAAACATTTTTAAATGATTTTGTTCCTAAACATCATTCCATGTAGAAGCCATAAGCTAAATCTACCCCTTCCTCTAAGGTCTCAATAACAAGAACAGACTCAATTCCACCAAACTTCACTCGGTGGATCCAAAGCATTTATTGGGCTTCCTTGCAGAATATAGATGAAGAGTTATAAACATAGGTCAGAAAATTCCAAACCCAATCTTCTACATCTGGAAAGCTTATTGAAGAAGGGATAAATGCTCT